TCACATGCCTCTCCTTATCCCAATTCCAGTCTGTAAGAACCTCACCCCTAATTCCTGGAGAAGCCTGGGAACTAAACAATGGCTATCTGGCTCCTTGCTCTGCTCTTGGCAATAAATACTTTCTTCCACTATCTTGATGGGCAAGGAGAGAGGCAGCATTGTGCCCTAACAGGCTAAACTACCAGCTACTATGGCATCCCATAGGGGTGCCTGTTCAAGTCAGGCTGTTCTACTTCAGGTGCAGCAGGGACCTGCAATCACATGGGACACCCAGATGAGGCTCTTAGTTCTTGGTTTGTCCCTGGACAAGCCCCAGCCACAGTGACCATTTAGGGAGTGAATTACAGGATGGAAGATCTCTCTCTAGCTCTTCCTCCTTCTCTCTCTAATGCTTTAGTAACAACTCGAATTGTCTTCTCTTTTTTTCCCTCTTACAATAAATATCTTTACTGATACTGTTTTGCTTTTTAAATTTTTTTGTAAAGATTTATTTGTTTTTATTGGAAAGTCACATGCGCAGAGAAGAAGATCTTTTGTCCATAGATTTACTCCCCAAGTAGCTGATCTGAAGCCAGGAGCTTCTTCCTGGTCTCCCATGCAGGTGCAGGGTCCCAGGGCTTTAGGCTGCCCTCAACTGCTTTCCCAGGCCGCAAGCAGGGAGCTGGACGGGAAATGAGGCTACCAGGACACAAACCGACCCCATATGGGATCCCAATGCGTGCAAGGCAAGGACTTCACCCATGTGGGTGCTGGTTCGGGTCCCAGCTCCCCTTCTTATCCAGCTTCCTGCCTGTGGCCTGGGAAAGTAGTTGAGAATGGCCCAGAGCCTTGGGACACTGTACCCTCATGGGAGACTGGGAAGAGGCTCCTGGCTTCGGATCAGCTCAGCTCCAGCTGTTGTGGCTGCTTGGGGAGTGCATCATTGGAGGAAAGATCTTCCTGTCTGTCTCTACTCTCTGTATATCTGCCTTTCCAATAAAATTAAAATAAATCTTAAAAAAAAGGCAAGTTTTACAGAAAGACAGACAGAAAGATCTTCCATCTGCTAGGCCACTCTCCAAATGGCTGCAACAGCCAAAGTTGAGCTGATAGGAAGGCAAGAGCCAGGAGCTTCTTCCTGGTCTTCCACATGGGTGCGGGGCCCCAAGACTTTGGGGGCATCTTCTGCTGCTTTCCCAGGCCATAACAGGGAGCTGGATCAGAAGTGGAGCAGCTGGGATATGAACTGATGCCCATATGGGATGCTGGCACTTGAGGGTAAAGGGTTAGCCAGTTGAGCCACTGTGCCACCCCTGTTGTTTTATTCTTAAGTGTTCTTCAAACAAATCTCTTATTAGGTGATAAGGAGTACAAATTTTGAAAAATAGTACCAAAATATTCTCAATGTTTAATCCATACTTTGTGTGTCACTTTAAAAATTTTTTTTTGTTTTAATATTGTTTATATAGTTTACAGAATACATGTTCTTGTGGGCCTCTAGTTAGGGTTGGAAAGTCAGGTATGGAGGAAGGCGGGTGGGTCAGGCGCTTCTGTCAGTCTTTTTTTTTTTTTTTTTTTTTGCTACTTGTGTTCACAGGGGAAGAGAGGGGTTACTCCTCACTGTCAAACCACATCAGTACCCAGGGCTGAGAGATGGTCCTATGATAATGCTTAGAGGTCCCGATGTGGGGAAGAGTGTTCTGGAGGTGTTACCTGAGTGGTTTCAATAGCCCTGAGATGTTGCTGGTTTCATTGTTCTGGGGTTGAGAAAGTCTTTGCCAGGTCTACTCGTTGACAAAGGCCACCTTAGTGCATCCACAGACCTAGTAACATGTGGCAAAGTTTGGTCAGGGGAATTGTCAGTCTTTCTATGACATGGCAGTTAATGTCCCCCGCTAGCTTAGATGAGCTGGCCACCATGTTCTCCGTGTGCAATTGGACATACTGTCCACTGCACGTACATTCCACTTTTGAAATACATCAGTATGTACAGAAATCAAACTGCTCAGCATGGGTAGTCTTTGACAATTGGAGTGGGGGAACCTTTTACAATTCCATTGGGAAAAATATAATGTAAAACAAAGCAGTCCTCTCCTTTGTGTTTCTGACCTTAGGGTGCCAACCACACCCAAGCACCACCATCCTCCCTGGCTCTGACCCTCTCCTTCCCAGGGCTACAGCATTGCTGCTTGCTGGTGGAGCCTTTCTCTTACGCTGCTGCCGAGATCAAACCACTGCAATGACTACTATTCAGGTTTTGACCAAGACTTATCATAAAGAATCAACTCTTCCAGAAAGAATTCAAAGGTTAAAAATGGTTGGTAATGGACCCAGAGTGATAACCTAGTGGCTAAAGCTTTCACCTTGAATGTGCCAGGATCCCCATATGGGCGCTGGTTTGTGTCCTGGTGGCCCCACTTCCCATCCAGGTCCCTGCTTGTGGCCTGGGAAAGCAGTCGAGGATGGCAAAAAACCTTGGGCCTCTGCACCTGCATGGGAGACCCAGAAGAAGCTCCTGGCTCCTGGCTTCGGATTGGCTCATCTCTGGCCATTTTACTTGGGGAGTAAATCAGCAGATAGAAGATCTTCTCTGTCTCTCCTCTTCTCTGTATATTTGACTTTCCATATAAATAAATAAATCTTTACAAAAAAAAAAAAAACAGTCGGTAACACAAAAATAAAAGCCACTTTTTACTGATACCTTGAGGAAGTATGTACCATTTTAAAATCACATAGGTTTTCCCTTACAATCTTTGCAAAATTGTAAAAAAAATTGCAAAGGATATAATTTCTCATCTCAATTGTTTTTCAGTGTACAGTTCAGTCACACTAACTATTTGGACATTGTTATGCAACAAATATCTAGACTTTCCTCATTTTCACAGGTGGGATTTTGTTAACCACTTCACAACCTGCCCATTTACCCCATCCATCCTTCTCCTGACGGCCACTATTTTAGTTTCTAAGAGTTGACTTTTTATTGGATGCCTCTTATAAGTAGAATCATGCCATATACGTCTTTCTGTGACAAGCCTTTTTCACCTAGCATGTTGTTGCCGAGGATCATCTGTGCTGTAGATGTGGCAGCATTTTCTTCTTTTTAAGTGTATTTATTTGAGACACAGAGGGAGATAGGCAGAGGCCTCCCATCTACTTTTTTTTTTTCACTCTCAAATTGGCTGCAATGGTCCCCAGCTTAGGCTGAAACCAGGAGCCAGGAAGCCAATCTAGGTCTGTCACACAGGTGGCACAAACCCAATCATTTGCGTCAACACTGTTGCTTCCCAGGTCTGTAGAGCAGCCAGCTGGAGGCAGGAATCATGCCTGGTATTGAACTTAGGCAGTCTAACATGGGCTGCAGGTGTCTTAACTGTGAGGCCAAATGCCTGCTCTCCTTATTGAAGGCTGGTAATACTCCATTATGTGACTACGCCACATTTTCCTTAGCCATTTACTTGTTGATGAACATGTGGGTTTACTCTGCCTCATGGCTACTGTAAATAGTAGGGCCCAGGCCTGCTTCTTATCCTTCTGTTTATGGTATTCAGACAGAGGGATCTTTTGTTCTAATAACAAAAGACAGCTTTTTGGACAGCTTCAGAATAGGGGCTGGTTGCCAGGAAAACTAGCCATAATGAGAGGTTTGGAGCTTTTAGCCCCATCTCCTTAATAACTTAATAACTGATCACATACATGTTAAAGACTCCATCAAAAAATCCCTAGAAGACAGGTTCTAGAGAGCTTCCAGCTGATGGATATGCCTACATGGCTCATGACTGGCATACCCCAAATCCAGAGGGACAGAAGCTCCCCGCACTTGGAATCCTTCTAGAACTCATCGTCTTGTGTCCTTTATCATCTAATACATAGGTAAGTCTAAGCTGTTCCCTCCTGAGTTCTGTGAGCCATTCCAGCAAATTACCAAGCCTGAAGAGAGGTTATGGGAACCCTGAATTTATGGCTATCAGTCAGAAGCAGAGGAGGTCCAGTCTTGTAATCCAAAGGGAGGACCGCCCTGTGGGAATGTGTCTTTAATCTGCTGGATCTGATGTTATCCTCCAAGTAGATGTATTAGAGTTGAATTGAATGTGGGACAGCCGGCTGGTGTCAGAGCAGTGTTCAGAATGGAAAAACCCTCACATGAGGAAATAAGCAGCCAATGGGGGAAGGAAAGTTTTCCTTCTTTTAATCATGTTTGACTTTGCTCTGCGTGTGTGTTTTAAGATTTATTTATTTTTATTGGAAAGGCTGATTTACAGAGAAGGAGAGGTAGAGAGAAAGATCTTCCATGCACTGATTCACTCCCCAGGTGGCTCCTTGGCCAGAGCTGAGCCCATCTGAAGCCAGGAGCTTCTTTTGGGTCTCCCACACAGGTGCAGGGTCCCAGGGCTTTGAGCAATCCTGGTTTCCCAGGCCACAAGCAGGGAGCTGGATGGGAAGTGAAGCAGTGGGGACATGAACCAGAGCCCATATGGGATCCTGGCGTCTGCGAAGCAAGGATTTAGTCACTGAGCCATCACACAGGGCCCTTTGTGGTTTTCTTGACAAGGCTATATCTTGAACTTGAAAAGTTTCATCTGCAGAGGGCAGTGAGTGAAGTAGAAGGGGTAGGGGGAATAGTTTTGCCTGTTGTATATTTACTCTGAGAATCTCTTGGATGGAGTGTTCCTGCAGATAGCGATCCTGCTTTGTTGTTTAGTGTCAGTGCTTATTGGTCGCAGACTTTGGGTTTGTGTGTCTTGTCTGAGTTGAAACTCAATTGGAACTTTCTGTGTATGGCTGACAACACCGCGTAACACTGCACTGCTATGAGAATGGCATTGGCCTGATGACCCAGGACGCCATTCTGTTTATTCCTAAGCTCCGCATCCTTGTGTTCCCCCAGTGGTTTCTTCACTGCCACACTAATGACCTCTCCCCCCCAGGGCTTTCACGGGGCACACAGGATACACGATAAAGAGATTTACCTGGAAATAAGACTCCACTTCTGTGATGCATTAGTCATTAGGTTAGCAGAAACAGAGTCTGCTGACTAACAGTGACTGCACAAGAAGATGAAATAGTTTCCTTCCTCTTTTCTAAATTTCCCTCCTGAGCCCCACTGGAGGCTGTTTCAGTTCTGGGATGACTTTGAAGAGCCATATGTTTCAGCATGTTGCTCCCAGAAGCCTGTGGCTACTTCAACTCCAGATGATTTTGCTGCTGTTAGGTGAGTGCAGAGCATGCTGGGAAAGGGCAATTTAGGCCTCCTCTGACTGTCTGGATACCAGGACCCAGAAGGATAAGGGGCAGGTCTGGGCCCTGGAAGCTGGGAGCTGGAAGCTTACAGGGTTGGAGAGACAGGGAACACTGGGTTTTGTTTCAGGGTTGTTAAGGTCAGAATTCAGGAGTGCTTTCACAATTCTTGGAAAATATTTTCTGTTCCATGCATTCATGTTTACTTAATGCCTCGCCAAGGGATGTGATAAGGAGGACCCAAGAAGTGAATTTGCTTTTAAGAGATCAACTGGAAACAGGTTGTGAGATGCACCCAGGGACAGAGCGTAAGATGTTACCTGTCATGCCCCTTGCCATTTATGCACAACTAAATGTGTTCTGCTCTGCTCTTTGATCCACTCTTCTTCTTTTACAGCTCCTGTGGACAAGGCAGCTGGTGAGTTGGCAACTGGCTTTCCTGTGTTGACAGTGCTGGTACAGAAATGACACAAAGGACAAAGACCACCTTGGTGCTTGTCTTGCACGGAGCGCAAATTTCCGTGCGGACAACACAGTGGGCAAAGCAAGATTCATTAAAGCCAGGAAGCTTCTACTGCAACCATCAGGAGGGGGGTGCCGTCCAAAGGAGCAGCCTGGGAGAATCTGGTCCAAGTGGAATCTTTAGGCATATTGGTGTGTGTGTGTGTGTGTGTTTTGCTGGGGAGGATGGAGGGCAGTGATAGAACAACAGCTAACAATCAATGAGGGGGTGAGATAGAATTCATCAAAAGGCCACAATCCTAATCTTGTCTAGCCTGCTCAAAACAAAAAGCCCTCAAAGACTGTGATTTGTGATTATCATAAGCTGAAACCTTAGGAAGGTGAGATTGCTACTTTTCATGGTAAAACTTGTCACCCAGAGGAATGGGCATCTTTGGGTGAGAAACAAGCATTTTGTACTCTCTTAAATAAAGTTCACTCCTTCCTTGCTATTCTTTTGTTAAAACTGGAAACTTTCAGGGCAGATGCAAGCATCTTGTACACCTTTAAAAGGGTTCCCCGTTTGTTCATCCCATCAGGGACCTGGCCTCATCTGCCTGGTTGTCTAACGTCTCTCCCACCAAGAATCAGGTTTGGGTTCAGAACGGGCCTGGGCTTTGCTTCTTGGTGAGATTCCCAGAGGGGTCACCAAAGACCCAGGGGAGTGAGCCGGAAGCAGACAGGCAGACTTTTGAAAGAGTCTGCACTGGGACTCTGGGTGCCTGCCTTTCTCTGAAGTCTACATCCCTCCACGGTTATTTGCTCACCTCTGTTCCGGCTTTCTGCCCCTCAGCCTATCTCCCGAAGGCCGTGGTGGAAATCCAGCCCCCGTGGATTCAGGTCCTCCGGGAGGACATAGTGACTCTGACCTGCCAGGGGGCCCACAGCCCTGGAAACCTGTCCACTCAGTGGCTCCACAATGGCAGGCCCATCCCCACGCAGGTCCAGCCCAGCTACACGTTTAAGGCCGAGAGCAACGACAGTGGAGAGTACAGGTGCCGCATGGACCGCACCAGTTTCAGCAACCCCTTGCGTCTGGACGTGGTTCCTGGTCAGTGCTGGGAGGCCTGGGAGGGCCTTGGGGGATGACACCTGCTTCCAGGGCAGCGGGGCAGGGTGGGAGAGGGGATTCGCTGGGAGTTGCTTCAAGTAGCTTTAGCTGCTCGTTGCCCTCTCCAGCCAGCTCTGCTTAGCATGTATGTGGAGGTTGGAAACTACCAAACTCATCAGCATTTATTAGCTTGGTTGTTGTTGTTGTTGATTTTTTATTTTGGAATGATTGAGCAAGAAGATTCTAAGGCTACAGGCAGCAGCTGGGTATAAGAGAAGCAGAAGGAAACCCTGACTCCACAAAACTCCCCTGCTTGGCTGGCGGTGCAGTTGAGCAAGACAGTTAGAGGCTAACAGACCTGCGAAGGTCTCAAGGCAGGACCCTCCCTGCAAACGCCAGGAGGCCCTCATTGTGCCGGAGCATGGGAAGCAAGGTAGGGGAGAGTGGAAGGTGAGGTGAAGGTGAGCAGGAAGGGACAGGGGGAGCTCTGGAAGAGTAGCCTGTGGGTCATGGCCACGGCTTTGGCTTTCATTTCTGCATGAGAAAAGAATTTATGAGAGGGTGTGGTGGCAGTAAAACCACCAAAGACTCAATAGCCACTTGTGGGTAAGGAAGTAACCTTCAGTAACTTCAGGGGGAGTCTGCCAAAATCTCTCTTCAATGGCTAAGCCTCGAATTTCTCTCTTCATCATCTTTTTCTTTTTAAAATTTATTTAATTTTTATTGGAAAGTCATATATACAGAGAGGAAAAGAGACAGGGAGGAAGATCTCCCATCTGCTAGTTCACTCCCCAAGTGGCTGCAATGGCCAGAGCGGAGCTGATCCAGGAGCCTGGAGCTTCTTCTGGGTCTCTCATGCTGGTGCAGGATCGCAAGGCTTTGGGCAGTCCACGACTTCTTTCCCAGGCCTCTAGCAGGGAGCTGGATGGGAAATAGAGACGTCCATATGGGATCCTGGCATGTTCAAGGCAAGGATTTTAGCCATTAGGCTACCGCGTCAGGCCCTTTCGTAATCTTTTCTGGAGTTAAGGCACAGGTGTCTGTGGTGGAGAGGGGATAAGCAAGCAGGGAGATACAGAAGCAAACAGCCTGTTTTCAGGCAGGCCTTCATGCAAGCCTGCTTTTCCCCTTCAGTCTGCTTTGGGTCTAAGCAACTGACTAAGAGTATTCAGCTTAGTCGATTTTGAAGAGAAACTGTCCTTACACATTATATTCACCTCCCTGCCGAATGGATAGAAGAAACCTAAGCACCTTTATATTGCAGTGTGCTTCGGTTGCGCCACGACCCCTGCGGAGGGTTGCATGTAAGCATCCGGTGTTTCTGAGTTTCCTGTTTGACATCAGGAGTCTCGTCTTCCAGCCACCTGCTAAGGTCACTCTGCTGCAGAGAGCCTGGCGGTGGATGGTGTCGCCATCGTGGGTGGTGCTCTGCTGAGCTGGGATGAATATTGAATCAGTCACAAAGACCTGTCCTGCAGTGACTTCACAGCTACTGTTTGCTCTCTCCTTCTCCAGAAGGAGCAGGTGGCACCTCTGACATTTCCCCCGAAAATCTAAAACCATAGATCACAAAACCTTCGCGTGAAGGATGGGCAACCATCAAGTCTCACCAATGAAGGGGGTGAAACCCAAGAACTCAGGGCTCAATCCTGGAGCCACACTCAGAATCCTGACTTTGGCTTTCTGTTCCCTGCTGTCTTCAGATCAGTTTCTTGCTTTTTTTCCTGTACAGAATATTGCCTTTCGTGAATGTTCAACGCCATACATGATAGTATTAATTTCGGTAACAGAGCAGTTTAATTTCCTTCTAGAGCGAGTTTCCTGAAATGTTACATTTCTCCTTAGACTTGTTCTCTGTGATGGCTGAATCTTGGAAACGGAGTATGGCCGTCAGGGACGGGAACATCTGGGAGTGGGTGTGTTTGTAGTTTAGGTTTACAAGCTTTCTTAAATGCCTCCTTTGTTCAGAGTTACAGTGGAATACTGAAGTCCAACTGTCATGCATTTCATTTCTCACATAGATGAAAAAGAATCCACTGAAGGCATGCTGTGAGTTGAATGGTTATGTCCTCCCAATTTTCTTAATGTTGAAATCCTAACCCCCAAGGTGACAGTGTTAGGAGGTGGGCCTTCGGGGGAAGCGTTTGTGTCATAAGGGCAGAATCCTCACAGATGGCATGGACTTCTTTGTAAGAGAGGCCAAGAGTGGGCCAGTGTTGTGGCATAATGGGTAAAGCCACCATCGTACGGATACGTGTTTGTATCTCAGCTGCTCTACTTATGATCCAGCTCCTTTTGCTAATGGCCTGAGAAAGGTGGTGAAGTTGAACAGGGAAGTTAGAGGTAAACAGACATGCCAAGGGCCTGAGGCAGGAACCTATTTAGGCAAATATGAGAAAGTCCTCCTGCTTGAAGCACAGGAAGACAGGAGAAAGTCAGAGTGGAAGGTGAGGTTCAGAGGTGAACAGCAAGAAATAGGGTAGCTCTGGTAGAGGCCTGTGGGCCATGGCCTTGGCTTTGACTTTCATCTGTGCATGAGAAGAGAATCTGTGAGAGGGTCCGAGGGTTTCATTCCCCTACCATCCGTGTGGGAGACCCGATGATGCTCCTGGCTCCAGCCTGGCCCAGTGCTGGCCATTGCAGCCAACTGAGGAGTGAAGCAGTGTATGGAAGATCTCTCTGTCTCTCCCTTTTTATCTCTGTAACTGGTTTCAAAATAAACAAATCTTAGAGTGACACAGAGAGAGAGAGAGAGAAAGCCTGGCTCAGGGTAGTTTCCTGACCTCTTCCACCGCGTGAGGACACGAGACCCAGTCTGTGGGCCCTGTTCAGCAGAGGACCTGGAAGTGGCAGGTACCTCGGTCCCAGATGTCACAGTTCAGAACTACGGGAAGGACATTTCTGTGTTGATATTTTATGATACTTTGTTACAGCAACCCAAAAGGATAGAGTAGCTGGCATTATTTAGGTTCTACTTCATTGCTAATGTACTTACTGGCAACCCACCCTGGCTTTCCAAAACTTGTTTCTGAGTTATCATACTAATAATGCCCAAGCTACAAACACAGTGTCCACAACAGACAGAAGGTTGCAGGTCCCGCTCCCTAATGTCAGTCACTAAAGTGCACTCATTTTCTTAAGTAATTACAGTGCTTTAAACTTAAAATGGTTACTATTTGCTCTTCCTTTTTTGGAGCTTCTGGAACCTTCTATCCTTCAGGGGTCCCATAGACAAAATGCCACCACATTTTACCTGTGGGAGAATCATTACTTCTGCCGTGATGCATCTTCCTCCTGCCCAACATCCTTGCTAACTCTGTGACTAATGCAGCCCTGGGCATGAGATTGCAAAGGTGGTGGTGTCCCAGCCCAGCTTTTTTTCCTTCCATATGTGTGTCTTTCAGAATGGCTGCTGTTACAGACTCCACGGCTGGTGTTCCAGGAGGGGGAATCCATTGTGCTGAGGTGCCACAGCTGGAGGAACATTCCTATGAATAAGGTCGCCTTCTACCAGAATGGAATAGCCAAGAAGTTTTCTCATTACAATACCACTTTCTCCATCGCAGAGGCCAACAGCAACCACAGTGGTGATTACCACTGCACGGGAAGAATAGGGCAGACATTCTACTCCTCCAAGTCCGTGACCATCACTGTCCAGGGTGAGAATCAAGGCTGTTGGAGGAGCTTCCGGCCTGGCAAAGCTCGGTGGGAGGGGCTTAGTCTCTGTGTCCTGCGGAGTTCTTAGCATACCTGATTGCTGTGACTTTAGGATTTAGGAAGTGAGTGTCCTGTACTCTCGAGAGACAGAGACCTCAAACCTATCGCAGGCATTGATCATTACCTTCCTACTTCCTGCCACTGTCTCTTGGGAGTTTTGAGGCTGCTGCCTTCCCTCCTGGTCCTCTCAATCTCGCCTGAAGGTGGTCACATCAGCTGGGGAATCCATCCGTTTCTGCCTACAAGGCCCCTGTGTTCCTGAGGAAAGTTGCTGTGCTGTTGAGTTTTCCCTGGGTCTTACTGGAAGGCATCACTGGGTACCTTGGGTAGAGCTGTGAACATAACCCTGGCCAGGGCTCAGAGGAGCTGCAGATGTGTTGCTGGCATCTGTGGATTCCCTAGTTCAAGGTTGCCTGAAGGTTGTTCCCAGGGAGGAGATTCCTTGAGGGACTTCACAACGGAGTACTCCGATCCAGCAAACAGGGAGCAAGGTGTGGACTCGGCTTCTCTGCTTTGACATTCCTCTGGCAGGGTTCAGGCTTCTCCCAGGCGTTGTTGGCAAGAAAACCTCTCTGCTCTGCCTTATATGGCATTTGTTAGACCTAAATGACCACAAAAACATTCCCCTCTGTAACTTCTGCCCAGAGGAGCCCAAGGTCATCCTTCAGGAAATACTTAATCTCCATAGAGATGGACCCGCCTGGCTTAGCCTGGCTTTGGAGGCTGTCTAGAGTAACTTTACAGAGCCTCCTCACGGGATAGGGGTACAGGGAGGTGTGGGGAGTGGGGCGGGGAGGGTGGGTCCTCACGGTTTAGTCCAACTTTCTGCTTTACTAACCGCTGTTTCTTCCAATCCCTCTGCCTCTCTCACCAGATTGGGTGGTTCCACCCATCTCCAGCTCTCCACCTTGGTACCAGATCATTTTCTGCATGGTGATAGTGCTCCTGTTTGCGGTCGACACGGGGCTGTATGTCTCTGTCTGGAGAAACCTCAAAGTTCTGAAGGAAAATCCGAGGGCTTGAAGGAATCACCAGGCCACATGGAGACAGGGCCTGTGGGACAAAGGACTCATTCCCGTGGCCGTGCCTCTTCAGGCCACACCTTCCCCCTTCCCGTAGTCCCTCCTTGAAAGCCACTTGCTTCTCCTCTTCAGAATCCACTCAGCAAGCTGACTGCTTCTCCATGTTCTATCTCGCTGGGCCAACGCACCCCTTCTCTTTCACCCAGATGACCACAGCAGCTTCTGGTCTGGGGACTGCCCGTTGCCATTGGACAGTCTCTTCTCACCACAGCAGCCATCACGATCTTTGAAAAAATTGTGTGTTGCTTGAATCAGCGGGCTCAAAACCAGAGTAAAAGCTGGGACCCCCGCAGTGTTCTACGGGACATCTTGCAGTCCGCTTCTCACTGGCTCTAGGACCTCATGCCCTAACGCTCCGCCGAGGTTAGCCTTGTTTGCTTGGGCTTGTCTTTGAATGTGCCAGTGACAGTCCTGCCTTCAGCCTATGTTCCTTCCTGTGTCTGGATACTTCTTTTCTTGTGGATACCCCTATCCATGCTTTATCATGTCTGTGGTGGTTTGAATGTGGTTTGCTGCCGTCAAAGCAAAGTTCTTGACGCAGCAATGTAGGATGGCGTTGGCTCCTGGGGTGGAGCCCTCGTGAAGGGGCCAGTGGGCATGGGTTGGTTACTGCATGAACACGGCTTGCTTCTGTCCTACTCTTCTGTCATGCTTGGAGCAGCACGAGGCTCTCACAAGAAGCTGAGCAAGTGCACCTGCCCATTCCTGGACTTCCAGCCCCAGAACCACGAGCTAAACAAAGCGCTTTTCATCATAAACTTCCCAGGCTTAGCTGCTCCATTGTGACAGCAGACAGTGGACTAAGATAAAGCTCTTTCGGTCTTCACTTAAATGTCATGTTACTGGAAAGGCCTTTTGATTATTCAACCCAATCTCTCTTCTATCATATTTCTTTTCAAAAAAAAAAAACAAAAACATGAATGTCATTGGAAGTACGCCTGTAATGGTGACTTTCATATATACAACCTTGTTTTGGGTTTTGCCTGCAAGTCTTGGGAGTAGATTTTTGAAGCTGTTAGGGGGTGGAGGAGAAGGTTGGAGGAACACAGGGCTTCAAGGCTGGCCCATCATTTCCCTGGTGAAGATTCTTCTCCTCCGGGTCCCTGGCTAAAACACTTGGACTCTGCCAGCCACCTGTAGTGGCCAGGACTGTGAGAATGATGAACCGAAAACGCACAACTTCTCTCCCTTCTGCCAGTTAGACACGGTTCTCAGGGACGGTCTGGTTTTTCACTGTGGAAGTAACTCATTACCACTTGTTCAAACATTTCGCCTTTGCCTGGACTTTGGAAGCAACAAAGTGCCAGCTCTTTCTCCCCGGTGCACTGGGAAAGGATGGAACAAGAAATCCAGCTGAGGAATCGACTGGCTTTTTGCATTCCCGGTTCCCTCTTCCCTCCTTCAAGGGGGCCCACAGGTAGCTCAGTGAGTACTAACCCATCCGGGAGAAAACCCCCAGGTACCAAGTGGAGGTTTTGGCTTTTTTTTCTTTTTTTAAACAATTTGACATTTCTTTTGAGTTAATAACCATATGTTTAATAAGGGTAACTTTGAAATGTTCCAATATGCTAGTGAAACATTAACCTCAGAATACTTCACATGCCTTTTGTCTGAGAGAAGATGCAACCGCCGTCCTCGTTAGTATAGTGGTGAGTATCCCCGCCTGTCACGCGGGAGACCGGGGTTCGATTCCCCGACGGGGAGGCTGGATATAACTTTTGTGTCATTAGAATATTGTACACTCAAGACTGTGAAATGTGTTTTGGCTTTTAATAAAAGTTTGAACACCCTAGAAATTCAAGTAAAATGTTCTGGAATGAAGTTTCTTAAATTTAAAGACCTTGGTTTTCTTCGATTGTAAATAGCAACTAAAAATTAAAAGGAAGAAAAGTAGCTTCAGCGTGCATTGGCCGGGAATCGAACCCGGGCCTCCCGCGTGGCAGGCGAGAATTCTACCACTGAACCACCAATGCCCCTGCTATACTCCATTTCGTAACAACCCTCCTTAACTTAATCGATGATTGGCTCCATTCCACACAACTCGGTTTTGAAAATTTTACTTTCCAATCTAAAGTTGAAATATTTGTAAGATTTCAACAACGATCCAAACTCCCGCCTGTGGAGCCGCGTCGCCATTTGCAGTGCTTCCCTGAGCCGCAGGCGGGGTCCGGCCTGCACGCACACCGTGGGCCGGCGTGTTCGGGAATTCACCCCTGACTGACTGTCCTCGGAGCCAGCCGGGAGCAGCTCGAAGCCTTCTCGGCACATTTCTCGGCCGCAGCTCCGAGACCCAGGAGGCGGCGAGGTCCGCCCTGCCGCTTGGCGCTTCGCCTTGCTGGGCCGCGTCGGTCCGCGAGTTCCCGGCGTCTGCGTCGGCCTGGCCCGCGGGCTCCCGGCGGCCCCGAGAAGGCCCGGGAGACGGCGGGGGCAAGCAAGGGCCCGCGGGCTCACAGGGACACAGCGCAGTGCAGCCGACGCCCCCAGGAACCCGGGAGGCCACAGCTGGGTCCGCCCGCGGGGCGTGTCGGTGAGCTGCGCCCTTGCACCGGGCAGCGGTGCGTGCACGTTCCAGCGGGGTCGCAGGGAGGTCCTCGCCCACGACCAGGACACCCGCACCGTGTCCAGCTATCGGGTCTTCTCCCACACCTCGTGGCTGCTGGGTGATGCCCCCCAGGGCCCGATGGCCCTAAACCCGCACGAAGCGGGTGAATGGCTGCTGCAGCGTCACCGATATGACCTTTCAGGTGGTGAGCGCAGGCGGCCAGCCCCGGGTGCATGTGTGCAGCGCTGGAAGGACGAGACCTTCTTCCACCCAGCAGATCCCCTGCCCGGTGCTCAGCGAGGTGGAGGCGGCCGGCGGGAGGACAAGGGGGTCACATGCAGCACCCCCAGCTGCTGGATGTAGCCTGGAGACAGCAATGGGCGGATAAAGACACTAATCCGGAGGAATGCCTGCACCTCGGCCTAGCACACCCAGACCGTCAGCATCTACTTTGACATCAGGGCCATGACCAAGGGCAGCAACCTGCTAGGGGTGCAATGAGCTCGGGGGATCTCTCCGGCACCCCGCCCCTTGGTGATCTTTGATGACACCAGCGGCATGCTGAGTGTCATGGCCGCTGACAGGAGCACAGACGTGTCGAACCAAATTACCATGTACAGCTTCTCCTGTGCTGTGGCCATCGGCTTTCTAGATTGCTTTCTGCTCTCTGTAACTTTGGGAGTTGGGGGAGTCTTCCCCCTAAATTTGGAAGCCTTTATTTCCGTGTGTTTTATAACTGAAGACTTTTTTCCCCTTTCTCTTTTCCCACTTGGTATCCTCATCAAGTAGACCCGTTAACTAATTATCACTTTTTTATGTTTTTTTTTTTTTTTTTTTGGTGGCACTGAAAACCCTGGGGGTTAGTTGGGTCAACTGGCCAACACTCCACCTCCATATATGGGATGCCGGTTGGTGTCGCAGCTACTCTACTTCCCATCTGGCTCCCTGCTTGTAGACCGGAAAAGCCACGGAGGATGGCCCCAAACCTTGGGGACCCTGCATCCACGTGGAAGACCCACACAGTAGCAGCTCCTGGCTTCGGATTAACTCAGCCCTGGCTCTTGGGATCATTTGGGGGAGTGAACCAGCGGATAGAAGATATTTTGTCCTTCTCTCTGTAAATATACTTTTCCAATACAAATAAATAAAATTTTAAAAAAGAATAAGGAGGAAAAAACTCTCCTGGTTTTCAGTCCAGCTGATTAAGTTGCTGAGGAGGACTCAGCTTTCAGAAGAAGAAAAGGCTGAATGAGCAAGAGGAGAGTGGGGGAAATTTGCAAGGCTGTGTGCCTGATTTCTACAGCTGGAAACAGGGGGAGGGGCAGGTGGAGGCAGGCATGGTGAGGGCACAGGGAAGGGTGGAGGCTGATGGAGAGGGAGGTGAGCTGGAGAAGAGATGAATGGGGAGAAACTCAAGGTGTGGCCCGGAGATAACAGTTCTGCCTGGGCAGCCTCCTTATCTGTCAGCCTGCTTGCCCCACGGCAGGCTCATTGCTGACCAAACCCCCGTCCTGGGCTGTGGGGCCCGGTCTAGGTTAGAGATGGCAAAGATAGTGGTTACCCACTCAAATTATCCCTTATCAGTGGACAGCATGGCTCTGTCTGCATTCTGCTGACCGGCTGGAGGATGAAACAGCGACAGTGTAACATAATGACAACATTGGAACCAGGCTGCACAGCTATGTAACTGTCCCGCCACGCTGTATGCTGTGCACAATAAACTCTCTGAACTTCCGTTTCTCCTTCTGTTCATTGTGGATGTTGCTAATAACAGTATCCATCTAAGGATGCTACATCTAAGGATGGTGAAGGCTTGATTGATTTGATATTAGAGGCAATGAAGCATATAGGTGGAATAACATACATATTAACTATGACTCATTATTGTGGTTAAGTCCAGCTAAGTATCAGGTATTTAGTACACACGATCTAGTGTAATGTAGCAGCATTTTAAGAATGACGATGCGTAACAGAATACCATGGAAACGCCCTGAGCCCTCCTCTGCCTGGATGACTCCCTGCATTCTAGAACAGCAAGCCCGGCCAGTCCTGCCAGCCTTCCAGACCTCACGCTCCAGCCGCATTGCGCACGCGCCCTGCTGAGTCTTCCGGATAAGGTGAGGAAAAACAGCGAATGACTGAGGGGGCTAACTCCCCACGCCCATGTGAAGACGTTGCTGGGAAACCAGATCTTACTCCAGCTGCCTCCTGAATTTGTAAAACTTCTAAAATCAGATCCTGTCTGCTGTCCTTGCTGCAGCTTGTGACCAGATGGCTCAGTCTGGGATCCCGTGGCCAAGTTTCCCGGACACTCTTGTATCCTCCCACGGAACTTCGGTGTTCCTTCCCTGATAGGGTTAATTGTCAAGGTACCTGTACTCCTGGGAGTCTGGGATCTCCAAAGAGGTGTCTGCATCCTGTTACGGGAAAAAGCTCCTGCTTCCTGAAACAGCAGGAGGCAGGCAGGAGACAGGGAGAATCTTGGGAGTTTTGACATTTACCTTCGAGGCGTGCTGTTTTATTACTGTCTGCATTGAAGTGATACCATCAGGCTCCCAAGCCTATGTGCCGGAGTCTAGCTCCAGCTGAGTTCGGAGCTCGAGAAGGGTGCGTGGATGAGGCGTAAGAGGAAAGTAATGGACCACTCCGATTTCATGACCGTAATGGACAATGCAGGAAAGCTGTCCCCTTTATACAGAAACAGTCAAACTCTGGCTCAGACCTTTTACATCACGGTCAAGAGGGTGTTTCTAAGGATAATTCTGCCATTTGTTTTACCTAAAAACAATAGAAGTTCCTGCTACAATTCTTATTCTGCAACTCAATCTTGTATCACAAAGAAAAGGAGAACCTAAAGATCAAGGAAAGACGGAAACCCTAAACACAGATCCCTTCATTAGCATAAGGTCGATGGGGACAGCCAAGACAGCATGAATAATAGAAGGCCCTTTGCAAGATGTTATTATTGACATTAACCTCCAAGCCAACTCCACAGCAGCAAACAACGTCTGAATGGATTAGAATTCTTCTGCAGGGTGGTCCAGTGTCCATGCGAAGGGAGGTGGAGCTGCATTCAGGTGGTTGTAGAGACATCCATTGGGCCCTGCCATACAGTGGGAAATTCCTTGCAACCCTGCTTGCAGTGGAACAATATTCTTTACACCTTTGTGTCCTCCACATCCACTGCACGGACCCCGGCACTGTTGGCCAATTCTCGCAAATGAAGGCAATTAAGACTTGCACAAATGAGATTGGCTGTGAAGTTCAACACAGATACAGCAGGAAGCTACTGTATGCCTTTTAAGCAGCTTCCCGGAACACTAACAATTATACATAACCGCTCTTCTTAAGTTCTAAGAAATCAGCAAGGTACAAAACTATTAGCTATGGATTTTAATCAAATTTTATTTCCTTCCACTAATGTCCTCCTTTTTCTTTTTTTGTTCAAATGTTAATGCAGATACCATGTTGCGTTTTGTCATTTTATCTCCTCAGTTCTCTGTTACTGATGACCGCTCTTCTCAGGGCCTTGACACTGTCAAAGAGCACATCAGGTGTTTCACTGTTGCTAGTTAGTTTAGGTTTGTCTGATCATGCTGAGACAGAGGTTATGGGGCAGAATATGATGAAGGTCAGTGCACATTTGCTGAGTTCCAGCGGGTGGTACATAGTATGGAAGTGATGAGTCACTGGTAGCGCTGACCTGGGCTTAGGTTCAGCTCTGTTTAAAAACAAATTTATTTGTTGTTATTATTAATAGTCTTTTTTTAAAAAAAAAGATTTATTTATTTATTGGAAAGTCAGATATACACAGAGAGGAGGAGAGACAGAGAGGAAGAGCTTCCATCCGATGATTCACTCCCCAAGTGAGCGCGAAGGCCGATGCTATGCCTATCTGAAGCCAGGAACCTCTTCCGGGTCTCCCACGCAGGTGCAGGGTCCCAAAGCTTTGGGCCGTCCTTGACTGCTTTCCCAGGCCACAAGCAGGGAGCTGGATGGGAAGTGGAGCTGCCGGGATTAGAACCGGTGGCCCGCTATGCCACGCTGCCCAGCCCTATTACTATTATTCTTAAATATTTATTTTATGTATTTAAAAGGTAGAGGAGAGAGAGAGAGAGAGAGAGAGAGAGAGAGAGAGAGAGAGAGAGAACAGTTTCAACCGGTGGTTCACTTCCCAAATGGCCACATACTGGGACTTGACGTCTCCTTTGTGAGTTCAGGGGCCACATAGGACCTGGGCCATCTTCCACTGCTTTCTG